TTTCCTCTCACCTCACTTCCTTTCTGCCCCGTGAACTTGCAGGGGAGGGAGAGCGAGCTTCAGGGTCCCCCTGTCCCCCCCACTGTACCCCAGAACAGGCGCATTACCAGCATTGGCAGCGTGAACCAGTAGTTTCCTTTCCTGTTGTTTTTGTTTAGGGGCACACTCAGCGGTGCTCAGGCCTGACTCCTGGCTCAGCGCTCGGGGATCATTTCTGGCGGGCTTTAAGGGACCGTATGGATGCTGGGGATGGAACCCAGGTCGACCTTTTCCTATCGCTCCAGCCCTCCTCTCACCCTTTCTGCCCATCAGCGCTGCTTCCTGGTCCTCTTGGTGTCCTCTGTCCTTTGCTGTGGTCTGACAATCTTGACTCCGAGCCCAGAGCTGAGAGCTGCCTCCTCGGCTTCTCACTCGCCGATCCTCCAAGTGCTGCCCAAAATATCCCGGGGCTGGCCCACCATCCACTCCTGTTCATGGCCTCCCTTCACAGTCTGCGGGGCCTTTCCACGCTGCCATCTGTAGTGGTCACTCTCTTCCTCAGACACCCTATCTGGTTCCTGTGCAGGCCTGTATGGGAACCCCACCCCTAGGTCTGACACCCACCTCTCTGTAAGGGCTTTTGTTTCCTGCCACACTGGTGTACTGGTGACCTACCATGCCTTTCTCTGGAGGGAAGAGCTCTCGGCCTGGGGTCAGAGCAGTTCGTACAGTGGGCAGGGCACATGCCTTGCAAGCACTGACCTGGTTTTGATCCCAGCATCACATATGGTCCTCAAAGCACAGCCAGGAGTAATTCCTAAGTGCAGAGCCTGGGAGAAGTCCTGAGCATCACCAGGTGTGGCCCAAAACAAAAAATAAGAGAAAACTAAAAAAACCTAAATCAACCTGAGGCCAGAGAGATAGTTCAATGGGTAGGACGCTTGCCTTGCATGCAACTGATTCAATTCGATCCTGAGCACTGCCGGGAGTTAATTTCCAAGTGCAGAGCCAGGAATAACCCCTGCGTGCCCCTGGGTGTGACCCAACAACAACAACAACAACAAAAATCAAACGAAAAAGAGCTTGTGCCCAAGAGGGGGGGTGAGGGGGGAGGTGTGTCCGTCTCTTCCAGGGTGCCATTCTGAGGCCAGGCTCCAGGCCACACACCTCTGTCCCCCTGTGCTGCATCTTGGGTCAGGTGCAGTTGACCCAGGAAGGTCGGGGTTGGAGCAGTGGCGAATGAGAAGACAGAGGGAGCCCGGGAAGCTGTCTCTGCACCCGCACCTCCCCGTTAAGCTCCCTCGGGTCACTCGGTCTTCACCACCCCCCACCTGCGCAATCTTTCCCCCAGCACTTGCTGGTCACTCTGCCTGCCTCCGCTTGCTCCCAGACTGAGCCTGAGACCAGCATGCCCTGTGTGCCTCAGGCAGAGCCTCACAATGACCAAAACTAACTTTTCTTGCTCCTCACTTGTTTCTTGTTTTCATGGGCATGGGCCTCTGCAGAAGTTGTGAGGGAGGGGCTGGAGCAATAGCACAGCGGGTAGGGCGTTTGCCTTGCATGTGGCCGACCCGTGTTCGATTCCCAGCATCCCATATGGTCCCCTGAGCACTGACAGGAGTAATTCCTGAGTGCATGAGCCAGGAGTAACCCCTGTGCATGGCTGGGTGTGACCCAAAAAGGTAAAAAAAAAAAGTTGTGAGGGAGAACTGTCCTGCTGCTTCTGGGGAAAGGGGCGTGAATAGGGAACGAAGGGAGAGGGAGCTGCTGGTCTCCTGGTCCGATTGCCCATGCAGCCCCCTTGGGGGGTGGTACATGGGTGTGGGAGGCTCCCAGGGGCCGAGACAAGGATGAGAAGGAGTCCAGGCGCCTTCCTAGTATTCACACTCCTGCAGGAGGCCCAGCCGCTGCCCTTCCTTGGTTTCGAGAGCAGACCTGCTGGCTTTTCCCCTACCTTTTGCTGCATCCATTCTGCGGATCTGAAGCCACACTTGCCCTGGGCCGCCCAGCTCTGACTGTGGGGACCCCGGAAGCCAAGCTTGGGGGCTACTCCCCGTCAGTGGAGATGTTTAGACATCATGCAAGGCCAGAGAAGTCATCCAGCTGCTATCCGGTGGCCCCATGGTGTTGAACATGCTCAAGGGCAGAACTCTCTCTCGAAGCACACGCTGAGATGTGACGTAAGCATCAAAGATCTGGAAGGGCTGAAGGACAGCCTTTGTTCTTGGGGCGCAACGCAGTGATGCTGAAACCCGCTCGTGAGAAGCATGGGGTGGTGTGTCTTCTGCCCTGCGTCAGGATCCACAGAACCGGAAGTCCACCAGCAAACATTTTTCTTGTGCTGCTTCAGACTCTGCTAGTTTAGGTCATTCTGGGGAGAACTTTAGCCAGAGACAAAGAAACGGTCCTAGGCTACCCTGGGCATTTTTTTTTTTAATCAGTGAACAATGGAGATGGAATGATCAGGCCTGATTGTCAGGGATGTTGGGGTGCTGCTATGCTGTGGCGGTTGAGGGGGTAGTGTTTGCACTCCTCAGAGCCTCTGGGTACCTTCTTGTCTGTGATGACAGTTAATGCTGACTGCACCCCCTCCTTCTTCACTCAGGAACGCTCACAGCCTAGGCTCTGGAAATGCGGTCTGTGTTACCCTAACTAACTTGATCAGCTGAGAGTTTGCTGCAGGCAGATGGAGTATGAACAGATATGGCAGCGATGACCACGGGTCACAAGAGTGGTCCTAGAAGAGTCTAGAGTGGTTGTGATTTTTCTCATTGAATACAAAGGTGTCAGTGGAGACACCCTGTAGGGCCATTTCCCAACATCTAACACCAGAAACCTAAAAGAGTGGATACCTGTTTTGGTATCTAAGTTGATATATTAGAGGCGTTGACAAAGATTTGAGAAAGATTTTTGGTGCTTCACCAAACTTTGCTCCATCTCCTGAACTTTCTCATACGCTCATCTGTGCACTTTCTTGTAAACTTACGTTTTAGGAAGAACTTGCTAATTTGGTTAATCAGATCCCCACAACCTCCTTCCCGCCCCACCCCATCTTACCCGCCCGCCAGCTTGACATCTGCCCAGGTTCCTTGCCCCACCATGGCCTGGGGGACGTCGGATAGCGCTGACCGACCTTCAGCCATGAAGCCTCTTAGATTGGCTTTGCCAACACCACCGCCTTTCCCCATTCCTCGCCTCCCCATGCTTCTTACCCTCCTTTCTCCTACTGCAGTAGTTCACGAATAAAATGTTTAATTTCAGTATTTACAACTGCCACCCAGCTCTGGTTTTTCTCTTTGATTCTCTCTGTGTGAACCCGTTACAGAAGCGTGACCATCACCACACACTCTCTGCACCCCAATCCTGCCCATATTCTCCCGTGTGGCATGGCAGACAGGAGCGTCCACCCTGTCACTTATTGGAGAAAGCTCAGCGACAAAAAGTGACATAAGGATGGGGCTGGCGAGCTTCAGGCACTTTGGTGGTGGTGAAAGTGTAGTTAAGGGTCTGGAGAGATAGCACAGCGGGTAGGGCGTTTGCCTTGCACACAGCCAACCCGGGTTCGATTCCCAGCATCCCATATGGTTCACTGAGCACCGCCAGGAGTAACTCCTGAGTGCAGAGCCAGGAGTAACCCCTGTGCATCTCCAAGTGTGACCCAAAAAGCAAAAAAAAAAAAAAAACAGATACCTCAGTCCCATTCATGTTCAAGCTATCATGACCATGCAACCTAAACAACAGTACAATTTTTTTTAGAAATGTAAGACCATATTTATTATTATGCCCCCCCTTTTTTTTTTGCTTCTTGGGTCACACCTGGCAATGCTCAGGGGTTACTCCTGGCTCTGCACTCAGGAATGACTCCTGGCAGTGCCTGGGGACCATATGGGATGCTGGGAATCGAACCTGGGTTGGCCACATGCAAGGCAAACACCCTACCTGCTGTGCTATCACTCCAGCTCCTATGCCCCTTCTTTATTATTTCCTTCTTTATTAATTACCCTGAAAGAGTGAGTGAAAATATGGGGGAACACAAGGAAGCTGAATGCAGCATCCCCCAACCCCCAGAGAGAAGATAACTTGGCAGCAAGAGCAGAAAGGTGGGGCAGGTTGGGGAAGGACAGTGAGTCGGGTGCTTGCCTTGCTTGTGGCCAACCTGGGCTCGATTCCAAGCATCCCATATGTCCCCTGATTCTACCAGATGTGACCCAAACAACAACAACAACAATAACAATAACAACAACAACAAAAGAGTCTGAACCTATACTCCTGAATCACCCTGGACTCCCTTGGGTCTCCTCAGGAGATCAGGGAGGTGGTGAGGATGACTCGGAGCTGAGCTGGGCTGAGGGAGGAGGGCATTATGGGGGTTGACAGCTCAGCACAGGGGACCCAGGACCAAGACCGCCTGGGGCATCTAGAGGGTCCTGGCCTGGAGCAGAGCAGGAAATATCATCTGGAGTTCACCAGCATGACCTCCTCTGCCAGGGAGGTGGCAGGAGGTGGGCACGACGGGTTGTGCTGGGAGCACTGGGGGAGGCCAGAGGAAGGGAAGAGCAGAAGCCCTAGACCCCTCTGACCTGGCCGGTTTCCTAAGATACCCTCGGGATGATACTTCCCCAGCATGTGCCAAAGATTTCCCCCACCTACCTTGAGTGGTTGAAAAAAATATATATTTTTTTTGCTTTTTGGGTCACACCCAGAAATGCTCAGGGATTACTCCTGGCTTTGCACTCAGGAATTACTTGCAGTGCTGGGGGACCATATGGGATGCTGGGGATCAAACCCGGGTCGGCCGCGTGCAAGGCAAACACCCTACCCGCTGTGCTATTGCTCCGGCCCCAATTGAGTGGTTGAAAATTAAATGTGGGACCAAAGTGGGGAAATGAGCAGGAACTGGTGCCTGGTGCCAAGGGAGACATTTTATTGAGAGCAGGACTGGGGTGGGCTGGGGTGGGAGGGCTGCCCCTCCTCGGGGTCCTCTTCCTCCAGGCCCCCTTGGGTGGGGGAAGCTGGGGGACCTAACGGCATTCTGCGGCGGTCACCGTCTTCTTCACGGTGCTGCCCTCGTGTGTGATCTCACAGCTGATTTGGCCGTGGGAGTTCCACCGCTCTGTGGACAGGCTCAGGAAGCTGCTGGCCACATACTTGAGGTTGCCCTGCTGCAAGGGCTCCGAGGTCTCCACGCCCTGCGTGATGGGGCGGCTGTCCGCCTTCCAGGCCACCGTCAGGGTACGAGGGTAGAAGTCACTGATCAGACACACCAGCGTGGCCTTGTGGATCCGGAGTTCCTCCGGGGAGGGTGGGAACAGAGTGACCACGGGTGTGGAACTGGGCTGGCCTGTGTGGACAGAGAAGGGGGCATGAGGAGCCCACTCAGGTATTGGGGCAGTCCCTTCCACGGCATTCCTGCCGGGACCAGTCTCTGCTCCTGGCTTCTTTTCTCTCCCCTGGGCAGCGGACAGTCCTCACCTCTCACAAGTCCAGGGGCCTCGCCCATGATCCCTTTCCCAAGAATACCAGTGAAGGTGCTGAACCCCTCTGCTGTGCAGCCTCAGTTTCTCCACGTGTGAGGGGAGCCGGGGGCCCTTCCTCCGCCTGCTCTCTGGGTTTGGAATCAGCCTGGCCTCCGGAGCCTCAGCCCAGCCTCAGAGCCCACGTTCCCTTGTGCCTCTGTGGGGCTGTGTCTGAGCCTTTCTGCTGGCTCGTGGTGGGCAGGGAGGCCGGAGTCTCGGGGGCACCAGAGCTGCCTCCTCTCTGGCCACCAAGCTCGGCCCCCTGCCCATCATCTGCTCTCGTGGGGAGGACTCGCCCCTGCCAGCAGAGCCCAGGGCTCCTCTCAGGCTCTGCACATCCCTCCTCCCTACCACGTGCAAGAGCCTTTATGTCACTGAGACACAGACACAGCGGCCCCCACGGCCACGCTCACCCATCTGGTGAGTCCTGATCCCACCTGGCATCCATCGCCCCCGACCCTCCTTCCTTCCTTCCCTGAACAGCCCCCACAGTCCTCTCCTGTGAGGAAGGTGGGCAGCGAGTGTCTCCTCGGACAGGTGAGACACCTGGAACCGGGATTCAGGGTGTCCTGGAACCCACACGTCTCTGTCCCTCAGATCCACTTCTAGTTTGCCACTGTCCTAGGAGGGTGTCCTCAACTCTCCCCGCTCGCCTAGACCCGATGCCCCTGTCCTCACAGCCCATCAGAAGGCCACAGGGCTGCCACCAAAGCGACACAGATTCTCTTGGCATCTGTCAGTGAGCGCGGGGCTGTCCTCCATGCCCCGGGGACTGGTCACAGCCTCAGCCCTGCCCCAGCTGCCAGTGAGGCCGTCCCAGTGTGGGTGGACATCAAGCTCTTGGCCTACACTTGGAGTCCTGAGTGTCCCCCAGGAGAACTGGCCTCCTGGCCCAACGTGTGTACTAGCCCTAGACGATCCCTGGGAAAGGAGCCCCCTCATCTCACCATGTCCATGTCCAACTCCCCAAATTCCTAACTCAGCCCCCCAGGCCTAGCTTGTCTTACTGTTGGTCAGTTCGACTCTAAGTGCAATTGTTCCTGCTGGGAACCCAAGATCCATGTCCTCCCTGGGGTCCCACGAAGAAAGGCAGCTGAATGCAGCAGCCCCCACCCCCTGGAGAGAAAATGACTTGGCAGCAAGAGCAGACGGGAGGGACAGGCTGGGAAAGCTGGACGGTCACTTACCGAGAACGAAGAGCTGGGTCCCTGCACCAAAGACATACCATGCCTCGGGCCACAGCATGCTGGGCCAGCACCTGGGGCCCGCCCTCTGGGAGTTGAGCCAGAGCAGAAACCTGCAGGGCACGATAGGACGGGGCTGCAGCCGGTGGGGTCTGTTCTAAGGCTGGGTCATTGCCCCCCACCTCCCAGGTGGGCCCACAGCTTAGTGAGTTCCCATGTTCGACCCCTGTCTAAGGCAGCAAATCATTTCCTTCCTCCCTCCCCCTCCCTCCCTCCCTCTCTCCCTTTCTCTTTCTCTCTCTCTCTCTTTCTTTCTTTCTTTCTTTCTTTTTTTTTTTTTTTTGCTTTTTGGGTCACACCTGGTGATGCACAGGGGTTACTCCTGGCTCCGCACTCAGGAGCTACTCCTGGCGGTGCTCAGAGGACCATATGGGATGCTGGGAATCGAACCCGGGTTGGCTGTGTGCAAGGCAAACGCCCTACCCCTGTGCTATCTCTCCAGCCTCTCTCTCTCTTTCTTTCTCTTTCTCTCTTTCTTTCTTTCTTTCTTTCTTTCTTTCTTTCTTTCTTTCTTTCTCTTTCCCTCCCTTTTCCTCCCTCCCTCCCGCCCTCCCTCCCTCCCTCCCTCCCTTCCTTCCTTTCTCTATGCCTGCAGTGTCAGGGCTTACTCCTGGTCCAGATATCCCTCCTAGTGGGGCTCAAGGGACCATATGAGGTGCCCGGGATCCAACCTGGGTCGGCTGTGTACAAGGCAAGCACCCTACCTGCTATACTATCTCTCGGGCACAACATTCATTTCCTGGAGACACCGAAGAGTGACCCCTTCAAGCCTGTCCTTCATCACCTAGTGCCCCTTGCAATGGTGACTCTTCACCCAGTAGACAGTTGAACCATCTCTGAGTGCCTCACCCTCTCCTATGGTGGCGTGGTCTGAGCTGGCTCAGACTCGCCCAACCTCTCCCGGTTTCATTTTAGGATCCCCGGGTGTTCTTCTCCAGAACTAAGTCGAGCTAAGTAGACTTCTTCCCTGTGCCCATAGATATACCAGGTCATCCCTGGCTCCTCCAAGAGGAGATCCCCTTCTCCTTTGTCCCTGCTCATTGAGATCCAGTTCAGTTCTGTCTCTTTCCCGAAGCCCTTTTTGAGCTCTCAAAAATCTACCATCTCATTCTTCATCCACCCTCTGTCCCTGTACCAACAATGATTCCCAAGCCTTTGTCTGCCAGGTCCTGTTTGATGAGCTGAAACAGAGAAGGAACCTCCCCCTCCCCCATCTCTCCCTCAGACCTCTTCAGTCAAGGCTAATTAGACCCTCTCTCCATCCTAGGTTTCTGTTTTCTCTTCGGGATGTGACCCGGAGGTGACCCTTCTTTCCAGTGATGCTCTTTCAAGTTCTTCCCAAGCAGTTCCCATTGCTCCTTTCTCTCTGACCCTGGCTTGACTGCTAACCTCAGACTACCAAGCTAAGTTCATCTTTGTCGTCTCTCCACTTCACGGATACTTATTCCTGCTCCTGTGGTGAGGCTCAAGTCCATCTCAGCCACCCACTTTGCCTGTGACCATCTCCAGCTGGATGTTGGAAAGACATCTGTGATCACGATGTGGAAGACTTAATATTGTTAAGATGGCAATATTAGCCAAAGAGGACTAGAAAGTCACCGTCCTCCCTACCAAAATCTCAATAGCCAGGCATGTTTCAGGAAACCTGATCCTAAAATTCATATACGGAATTGCAACAGTTTTCAAGAAACAAAGCAATCTGAAAAAAGAAAATTAAATCAAGTATGAACATTTCCCAAATTTTAACGTTGCTGCAAGACTAGGCTAAAGTAATCAAGAGTGTAGCACTGGCATAAAGACAGATCTAGATTTAGATGAATATCAACATAAATACACAGGCGAATTGGATTGATAATCTGTGTTTCTCCTATTGTATTCTATTGACTTGTATTACCGATGTGACAAAGGGATAATTCAATAGGGTCAATACTTGTCTTACACATAAATAGAAGCTAAAATATAAACTGACCCTACCTCTTCTGTCTCTCCTCCCTCCAGCTTCTCTCCTCACAGCTGTCCACTCTGCAGGGACACCCAAGCATACTCCTTGAGAGGGTCTCTAGACCTGAATTTCTGTCTATCTTGTCTGGTCATGTCCACAGGCCGGGAGAGAGCACAGAGGGCCATGTGCTCTCTTTGTGGAAGCAAGGCCAGGTTTGCACCCCAGTTTCACCCAGAGCAACCCCCAAGCACCAAGCCAACAGTGGCTCCTGAGCACTCCGGAGATGGCCCAAACCCCTCTCCAAGCAAATGACAAAATGTTTCATCAGTTCCCAGATGAAGTCTCTTTTCCAGTTCTCCACTCACAACATTCTTCGCTACCTTGATTCCAAGATCCACTGGTCTGGTGGACCCCTGGGAGCTTCCTGAGGGTCCATGCCCAGATCATCTTGCCCGGGTGAATTCCCATGCCTATACCTCATCCGGGCTCCTTTCCCCCTTGGACATTGATTTGGATGTCAAAATGATGGGGTGGCGGTGAGGCTACATTCCCCTGTGTTTTCCCTGTCTGAGGTGCTGACCGCTCTACTCTCCCTGGCTGGGCTGCAGTACCAGTACTAAACAGGCTCAACCGGACCCTGCCTGCCACCATAGTGACCCAGCATCCCTGAGGTGGGGTCCCTTGCTCGTTTCTAATCCATCACATTGCTGTGAGTATAAACTGAGGCCCGGGAGGTCAGGATTGGAAGTGGGGACTGTTGGGGGCTGCCGAGTTTGGACACTCAAGTTGACGTCGGCTGTGGTGATCTTAAGCAAGAGCCCTCACCTCTTGGTCTCTACCCCCACCCGTGAAAAAAAAGATACAGTCCAGCCTGCTTTGTGGGTCACTGAAAGGAGGTGCTGCCCCTCCAGTTAGGAATCTTTTTTTCCCTGTTTTTTTTTTGGGGGGGTCACAGGGGTTACTCCTGGCTCTGCACTCAGGAATTACTCCTGGCGTTGCTCAGGGGACCATATGGGATGCTGGGAATCGAACCCAGGTCGGCCGTGTGCAAGGCAAACACCCTACCCGCTGTGCTATCGCTCCAGCCCCCAGTGAGGAATCTTATCACTGACACTTGATCATAGATGTGTGAGCATAAACACCATTATCCGGGGTTTCTATCCTGGGACTCACCGCGCGCAGAGCAAGGGCTGAGGGCACAAGGCAAGGCGGGTGAATCTGCTCCCCAAACCCTGGGCTGGTCCTTTCCCATGGAGGCCCCTGCACCCAGAGAGAGGCTGGGCTCCTGAGGAGCCAGGCACAGCAGGCAGCCTTGGCTGGGAGACACCACGGGTGAGGGGTGCTGGTGGGCTAAGACAGGGAGACTCGGCTGCTGCCCTTCTCCTGCCCCCCTCTCGACCCAACCCAGAGCACCAGGGTGAGGCCAGCGAAGCACTAGCCTGGATGCAAAATTAAAGGGTTGCCCCAAACTCGACTCAATCATGAAGAGAAATAATACCTTAATACAATCATATTTGTTTCCAAATATTGTAGACAAAAGTGGCCACAGCTCTGCACTGGGCCAAGTGGCAGACTGGAAATAAAGCATGGGTCTGCTAGGGTGCTCTCCCCTCGGCCACCCATCCTCTGTCCTTCTATTCCAGTCTGGGTTGTGGGACCCTCTGCGGTGACCCTCGGGGCCTTACCTGTCCCACAGGCTCAAGGAGTTACTTCCTGCTGGGGGTCTCGGGCCCAGGGCTGTAGTCCCGGGTGCTTCTGGGGAAGGCAACAGGCCATGGGCGCCCACGGCCAGGCCCAGCAGCAGGAGGGGCCAGTGCTTCTGGGGGCCTGGGCTCTGTCCCCTAAGGGCCACACTGCCCAGCTGGCCTGTCCCAGGTGCCATCTGGAATTCAAGGTCTGTACTGCCCTGGACTCCCTCCCTGGAGAGGGGATGTCAAGCACCCTGGTCTCTCTTGCTGACAGAGGGGATGATGCTGTCTTCTGTCTGTGACCCTGTCTTCTGCCTGGGCCTTCTCTGGTTCCATCCCCCCTCCTGCCCGCTCTAAGGCCCATCGCCAACACTTCGAGGGGGGTGTCGGAGGTCCCTAAGGGGCTTCTGCCAGCTGCCCTGTGTTCAGGAAGACTCAACCACCTCCCCCACTCCCCATTCCTGGTCGGCCACACCTGTGCCTGTGACACACATTGCTCCCCGGGGACCCTGGTCTGCGGCCTCCTCCCTGGGCCTGGGATTGCGGGGGCAGATGGTCCCAGGGGCAGGGACAGTGACAGGGAAGGAAATGGGTGGAGGGTTAGCAGGAAGCAGGTGTTGGAGAAATGTGATAGAATTATAAAGATGGCATTTACTGGGTTCTCTCTCTCCTCCCCACCATAGGACAGTGCTTTCCTTTTCTTTTCTTTCTTTTTTTTCTTTTTTTTTTTTTTGGCTTTTTTGGGTCATACCTGGTGATGCACAGAGGTTACTCCTGGCTCTGCACTCAGGAATTACTCCTGGCGGTGCTCAGGGGACCATATGGGATGCTGGGAATCGAACCCGTGTCGGCCACATGCAAGGCAAACACCCTACCCGCTGTGCTATCTCTCCAGCCCAGGACAGTGCTTTCAATGCTGAGGGAGTCTCACTTACATGAGGCCCCTTTTCCTTTCTTCCCTTGAGTCCACCCTCTTCCCCACATCATAGTGACACTCCTGGTGGCCTTGGGGTCCCTGTGTGGAGGTGGGTGTCAGCAGGGCTGTGAGGAGGAGAAGGGAGGTGATGAGACCCCACCAGGGCTGGAGCTGAGAACTTCTGGACTCTGCCCTCCTCCCTCTGAAATGGCAGCCCCCAGACCTCTGGTCTACTTTCTCTAGAAGTGGAAGTGAAGGAGAGGGAGGCCCTCAGATAATCACAGTCATGCCTTATCTGACCTTGAAAACTGTATTGAGAGCCAGAGATATTGTACAGGTATTAAGGGGCATGTCTTCAATGTAGCCTACCTGTGCATGTGTGACACTCACCCACTGCCCAGGGGCCAGAAGCCTGATTCCCTGTCCCCTAAATACCCCGTGGTGTGACCCAGAGCACTGCTGGGTGGTCTCAGCATGGCTGCAGATCCTTGCAGTTGTTCTGTCTGCTAAGAGTCACTGGGAAGCGCCTCCAGGCCTCCTGAGTGTCACTTGGCAGCTCCCTGACAGCAAATAAACACACTTGCTTTAAATTGAGAAGTGCCCAGATGTAAGATATATGTTTGCTACATTATTATTATTATTATTACCAATTCACCCCTCTTGGAGTTGCTTAAGAAAATTTCATGTTATGCAAAAATAATTGAGCGCAGGATAATACTTCAGCTGCTACTTTTCAAAGTTTAGACTGCAACTCAGAGAGGTTGTGAAATCAGTTCTTTGGGCTGCCACTAGCATTTTGCAAACGTGAAGTGGCCCTGAGGAGACAGGGAGTGGCGAGTGTCTGGGGCAAGGGAGACAGTCACAGCTTGTGGACATTGTTTCAGTGGTCTACTGACATAGATAAGCTCTGGAAAATGCAGAAGAGTGATTTCTCACTGGGAACCTTGAAGGAAGAACTTTTGCAAACTGCCAGCCTGGAACACAGGGTCCAGGGAGACTCAGTTCGCGGTCCACTCCTCCGTCCCCTCACTCGCTGGCCTGCAGCTCACGTCTGAACGCAAGCACCCTTGGCCTCAGGTCCCTGTCCCCGTCCACTCTCACCCAGGGTGTTCCAGGCAGAGCCACTGCGGTGGCTGCTCACCTTCATGAGACTCCCCAGGCTCCCCAGGTAGAAGCCATGGATGCCACACGCCCTCGCCGGGCAGTCCCTGGGCGTCAGTCTAGCCATATCACGGGGTGCTGCGACAGACACCCTGACTTCCTGACATCCCTCAGAGCTCATGAGGGCCACCCTGAGTGAGGCCAGATTCAAGAACCCGTCCCACTCTGCTTGGGCCGTGCGCATGCTCGGAGTGCTCTGTGCTCTGTGCTGTGTGTCCCTAGAATGGGACCCCTCCAGCAGCAGCGGGGGGTGGGGGTGGGGAGGCGCTGGACTGTGGGAACCCTAACAGCTCTCATGGGGGCCTGGGGGAGCTTCTGCGTGCTCTCTGGTCTGGCCCGGCTTGTCTCCATCGATGTATTCAGCCACTTCTATCTTGTATCTGGGGTGCTGGGGCAGGCTGCACCTCTTTTCAGCACACCTGTGCACGTGTGACACTCACCCACTGCCCAGGGGCCAGAAGCCTGATTCCCTGCTCCTTCTTGCAAGACATTCCCAACCCCTAAGAATCAAAGTTTATCTCTAAACACAGGGTCCCCTTCCCCAAACCTGCCACATCTCTGGGTGGCCACTGCGGATCACACACCCCTTCACCCTGGCTTTCAGTTTTTTTCTCATCATGTTTCCTCGAGGTAGTTACTGGGAAGTTTGTTCGAGATGCCGGACCCAGGCCTGCAAGATCTGTTTCTGTTAATACTGTTGAACAGGATCACAGTGCTGTCCATTGTGGACAGATTATCTATGGGCAGATAAAGACCCTGTCACCCAGGGAACTGGCAGCCGTACCTAGTCCTGGACAGGAAATACCTGCCAGCCGCTGTATATGTGTATGTGGAGGACTAGAATTGTGATCTCACCTAGGCCAGCGCAGCTTGAGGCGAGGGATTTCGCAACTCTGGGGACAGTTGTCAATGTTTGGTGACACTTTTGACTGTTCTGAGTAGGGGTGGGAGGGAGCCGTACTGGCATTTGGTGGGCGGAGGCCCTGCCAGTGCACAGGGTATGCCCACGATAAGAACAGCGTACACCCAAGTGTCAGCAGTAAATTAGCTCTATTGTTAGGCACCAGTTCTCCTCTGCACAGGCCCAACAAAAGCCTTCTCTAAGCTGATCCATGTGTGCAATCAGATGACAGCAGAGCATCCTGTCCTCAGCAGAGAGACAGTCCTCTTGCCACCCCCCCGCCCCACTACCCACAAAACCAGGGGTTCTGGGCCAGAGAGATAGTGCAGTGGAAAGGGTTGCCTTGCATGCAACTGATCCATATCCAATCCCAGGCACTGCATATGGTCCCCCAAGCACCACCAAGCACAGAGCCAGGAGTAAGCCCTGAGCACTGCTGGGTGTGACCCCAAAACAAAACAAACAGGCAGGGGACCAGTCTAGGTCATCTGTGACCAGCCAGTCTCTTGGGACCTTTAACAGCCTCCCCCCACCCCGCCCATCACGCCCTCCCCATTCGAGTACTTCATAGCCCATCTAGACCTCAATAGGGTTCACATTCAACACGGTCAGAACAAACTCCGCAAAACAGCTTCTCAGGTGCAAGCAGCTTTAATCCCACAATCCAGCCTTCCCGCGACACCCACAGCCATGCTGCTGGCCACCAAGGAGCCGGCAGTTCCTGTCTCGGCTCTGCACGGCCCTGCTGAACCCTCCTCACCTCTCCTCCCCCTCCATGCCAAGACGCGCGCCTCCTGGCTTCAGTTCGGGAAGAGCATGTTCTGGAGCTGCAGGATCCTTGTTTTCTTTTCTCTCCTCTATGTGCCTGGCTCCCACGGCACAATAATACAGAGCCTCATCCTCAGGCTGCAGCTCAGAGATGCTCAGATACCCAGTGTTCACAGACGCGTCTTTGGATCCTGAGAAGCGAGGAGGGATATTGGCACCGTGCTGCTTGTTGGAGTGGGAGAAATACCTCAGCAGGAACCGGGGCGGGTGCCCAGGTCTCTGCTGGTACCAGTAGATGGCATAACTGCTGATGTCATAGTCACTGCTCAAGGTGCAGGCCAGGTGGACTGTGGTTCCCAGGGGCGAGGACACTGACGGCGGCTGCTTCAGCACTGGCTGAGACTCAGAACCTGGGGACACAGAAGCATGTGGGTGGCAGGGCCGGGCAGGGTGGGGAAGGGGCCAAGACCTGCAAGCCTTGGGGTGTTCTCACCTGTGCAGAAGGCAAAGAGAGCCAACAGGACAGGAACCCAGAACATGGTGGCGGGCACCCAGCTCCGTCTCTCCAGCACTGTCAGAGCTCCAGGGCCCGTCTGGGCTGGGTGGGCAGCCTCCTCCGCCCTCCCAGGGGTGGGGACATGGCACATCCAGTTCCTGGACCCCATCCTAAGTTTTCTGGGGTTTGAAGTGTCGGTTGGGGGAACAACCTCGTGAGGCCTTTGCGGCTCCTGCCTTGACCCCATGGAAGCTTTGGGGGAGGAAGCACCTGCTGGATGCTCTCGGGCCAGTGCCCAGGAGACCAGCCTGCAAGCTTGGGGCCCTGAGGGGGAGTCACCTCAACATCCCCCACAAGGAAAGTGAGCCAGCAGAAGGCCAGGCTTCTGTTCCAATGTACAAGCTGGGAAGAAGAGAAGCAGGAAAAGTGAAGGAGGGGGTTGGGGAAGCAGGAGAAGGAAGAAGAGCAGGACAAAGAGGAGGAGAAGGAAAAGAGAATTGTACAGTATTCTAGTTTTTAAAAACTATGCTTTTTTTTTTCTTTTTGGGTCACACCCAGCAAAGGGGTTACTCCTGGCTTTGCACTCAGGAATTAGTCCTGGTGGTGCTCAGGGAACCATACGGGATGCTGGGAATCGAATCCGGCTCGGCCACGTGCAAGGCAAACTCCCTACCCGCTGTGCTATTGCTCCAGCCCCAAGAAATATGCTTTTTCCCCGCAGGAAGGGGCCCACACCTGGTGGTGTTAGGAAGTTACTCCCAGTAGGCTGCTCAGTTAAACCTGGGACTTGACATACTTCCAGACCTTTGACCCATCTTTCAGGTACTCATGCTGAAATGCAGCCCAGCTGAGGAAAGCTCTCTGCAGAACAGCGGAGTGAGCAGCAGTGAAAAGAAGCCCTTCTGGCTGGGTGATAAGACTTGGCAGAGTTTAGGGGTTGGAAGTATCAATGGAAGGGAGAGGCACCTTATGGAATTAGTGGCAAGGTTCTGTGGAAATAGATCACAACTTGGGTTTCTATCAATGTGGAGCAAGATTGTGTAGCCCACAGGGGCTGGTTTATATGTGTTCTATAAAACAACTATTATGGTGCTTGCTTGGCTTGAGACAAGTACCCTAACACCTGAGGTGAATACTTGTTCAGAACTTCCTGTCAGGTGGTAAGTTCAGTTGAGCCCTTAGACTCACAGTAAGCCCTAGAAATGATCTCCACTTATAAGCTTTTGCTGCCTCCTGACCATTTTATCCTCTTAATGTCTCACCCTCAGCTGACATTTAAAGAAGCACTTATTGGGCTGGAGCGATAGCACAGCAGGTAGGGCGTTTGCCTTGCATGTAGCTGACCCGGATTCAATTCCCAGCATCCCATATGGTCCCCTGAGTACACCTTGGAGGAATACACCTCCAAGAGTAATTCCTGAGTGCAGAGGTAGGAGTAATCCCTGTGCATCGCCAGGTGTAACCCAAAAAGAAAAAAAAAATTAAAGAAGTACTTATCTTGGTGGGATTAGTTGACTGAAATCATGTAGGCTACTTTTTTGTTTGTTTGTTTATTTGGGGGTCACACTGGCAATGGTCTAGGCTTATTTTTGTTTCTGTCTCAGGAACCACACCTGGCAGGCTCAGGGGACCATATAGGATGCACGTAAAGTAAGTATCCTGCCTACCATACTGTTGCTCCGGTCTCAACAAGCTGCTTTTAACCTAGGTAGTATGGAGGAATATATTGAGTTCCTAAATAATCTATTTAGGTACTCCTTGGTCTTCCATTTCCAGTTATGGAGGTAAAAAGTTAAAAGAATGAGAAGAGACTTGGGCCTCAGACCCCTCAGGGATGAAGGTCTAAGGAAGGATAAGCTACAAGGACAACAGGCATAGCAGATCCTGGTGGGGTCTAGCAGTGAATACTGGATGATGAAGAAGGTGAGTATCCTTACAGCCCTAAGACTAGCAGTGTTCAAGAGATAATTTATCTCACTGTCTTTTGTCTCACTCTTAGGGTTGCCGAGGGAAAGGAAACCATCAAAATCCTAGGAGATCCCTTCCCAATTGGATGAATTAAATCCATCTATATGGTAGGAATAGACCAGCAATAAACACTGATTTTCATGGATAAGGAAAAAGGTAGATACAGTTGTTACCTGCTCATAGGAACCAGAGACATAACTCATGCCCTGCTGAACAGACTCATGGTCCTTGAGCTGAAAATCTCTGTGGGGAGGAAAAACTGCATTGAAATCTATGAGGTCCTGAGAAAAATCAGTGATAGTTCAAATATGTCATACTCAGAGCTCCCAAGTCAACTGGGGCATGGCTAGGATCCGTGAGGTGCTGAGCAGAGTTTGCTGGGGGTTCTGAACGGCTCCTCGGGCCTTTGGATCAGTGGTGGAGTGTATGGTTCATGTTTGTGTGATGCTCCACACTGCAGTCACAACAGAAAGATAGTAGAGGGATTAAGGCTTGTGCCTTGCGGGCTCTCAGCCCTGGTTCTCTCTGGCGCTATGTGATTTCCTGAGCATCATCAGATATAGCCCTGGTGGCACTAGCCTGAACTGTCCTGCTGGGCTGGATGAGAATCACTGAGTCCTTCCTTCCTTCCTTCCTTCCTTCCTTCCTTCCTTCCTTCCTTCCTTCCTTCCTTCTTCCTCCTTCCTTCCTTCTCCCTCTCCTTCCTTTCCTCCTTCCTCCTCTCCTTCCCTCCCTCCCACTTTACCTACTTCCTTCCTTCCTTCCTTCCTTCCTTCCATCCTTACTTCCTCCTTCCTTCCTTCTTCCTCCTTCCTTCCTTCTCCCTCTCCTTCCTTTCCTCCTTCCCCCTCTCCTTCCCTCCCTCCCACTTTACCTACTTCCTTCCTTCCTTCCTTCCTTCCTTCCTTCCTTCCTTCCTTCCTCTCTTTCTTTCCTTCTTTTTTCTTCCTGTTGTTTCTTCCCCCCCCCCATATTTGTGCCACAACCAGACATGCTCAAGGCTTATTTCTGGCACTGTACTCAGGGATCACTCCTGGAAGGGCTTGGGGGACCATATGGAATGCTGGGGATTGAACCTGGATTGGTGTGTGCAAGGCAAATGCCCTGCCTGCTGTACTATCTCTTTGACCCATTCTGGTTTTTTCTTTAAAAATTTCTTTTACAGCACCATGATTTACCAAGCTGTTTCAGGCATTAAGTGATCCAACACCGGTCCCACCATCAGAGTGACCTACCCTCCACCAATGTCCCCAGTTTCCCACCCACCACCCTAGCCTTGCAGGAACAAATTTATTTCATATTGTTTATTAAAACACAAAGGCAAATGGAATTATAAAAATTAGATCAATAAGAGTTAGTTTGTGATTATTGTTATATCTCATAATGTTATTAAAGTCATTGTCTGAGGATCTGCTGTGCTGGTTTGTGCTAGTTGAGTCCTTCTGTGTTTGCTTAGGCTACTGAGCTTGGTGGTCTTCTGTACAAATTTCCCATCACATTCTGTGACCTTAGAGGGATGACTATACTATGAAATTTGAAGGTGTTGTGCACTGACTCTTTTCTTATTTCCATATGAGTCTACTGTTGTCCCAGAAACCAGCAAAACCAGAGTGTGCGAGCTAAGACAGCATCACACAATGATGAATAATTTCTCTGCCTTTGCCAGCAGTCACATGTCAGGTGATATAACAATGCTAATAAAGCCCAAGATTGACTGATCTGGGGATGTGTTGATTTCACAGAAAGTTCTGATATGTGGAACAGCAAGTTTTCCTTACCTCCTTTTCAGAGGCATCAAGTCTATTCTGGGCTCTTTATATAATCGTGAAGGTCTGATTCCAGTGCTATTCCAGAACCAGCCAAATAAGAGAAATGGTGACAGGTCTAAAAAGATCTTTATTGGAAAAAAGTTGAAGTAAGTCCTGAGCACTGCTGGGTGTGCCCCCCCCCCCAATAATAACAAAGTAATTTAAAAGTCACTGTTGGAGAGGATTTGGAAAGGAACTCTGATAAACTTCTGGTGGGAAAGCAAATTGATAGCCATTTTGGAAAACAGCATGGACCTTCCTTAAGAAGTTTGGTGTTTTTTTTAACTAGAACTAGGGGCCAGAGAGGTAATGCTGGAGGTAAATTGCCTGCCATTCACGCATCCAACCCTGATTCGATCCTTTGCACTAAATCTGGTTCCTGAGCACCTTCAGGGGTCACACCTCAGCAAAGAGCCAGGAATAGTCCCTGAGCACCAGCAAGTCTGGCCTAAATCTCATTCTTCACCTGTCAAAGGAAAAAACAAAGATGTGGAATATATTTATATGTAACATATGCACAAATTTATGTGTATCAATATACATATATACATACAATGTGTATATATACATATGTATATATACACATATACAAACGAAATCCTTTTTGGCCATGAAAAGATGAAATCTTGCATTTTCAGCAAAATAGAAGGAACTCAAGGTAATTGTATAAAGCAAAATAAGTTAGAAAGAAAAATGGATTATATGTTTTCATCAGTGTGTGCAATATAAAAATATAAAATTGATGAATAGTTGAAATGAAATAGAAACAAATCAGAGGAATTGGTAGCAGAACTAAGGACACATAAAGGGAAGAAGGTGGGATGGGAAAGAGAGGGGAAGAGTGTAAGGAGGTGTGATAGGCTGTGTCAGAGAGATAGGAGTGGGCAGGACACTTGCCTAGCACATAGCTGATCTGGGTTCAATCCCTGGCACCCCACGTGGTCCCCTGAGCAAAACCAGGAGTGATACTTAAGCGCCATCAGGTATGGCTCAAAAACCAAAAAATGGCGGTATGGTGCCGCCAGCAGGTCAATCTGTACCTGTGAGGCGAGTGCATCAGCAGCCTGATGGCGCCTTCAGACTTCCAGATACCCCAAAATTGCTGCTGTGCCTTTGGCCAGACCCCAAAAACTTGGGGCAAAGTTTACCAAGAAAGTAAACGGCCAAAAGTTAGGTATGTGGGAAACACACCCACAAACCACCTCCGGCTCAGCTATATAATTGGAGGCATGGCCTCTCTGGTTCCTGATTGAACTGCTTAACGGCC